TGATGCCAAATACAATGCCGGCTATACGTCTGGGGATGTAATAAGTACCAAGGTCCGACGCCGGACACTGTCAAGACTTCAGACAAAATGCATCAAATTGAGTAGCCCTGACAACACGACCAAGGTGCTTAGACAAAGTTGACTAATTGTATACAGCGAAAAGAAACTGCGACTAAAGCAGAAGCCAAAAAAGCTTGGTCTCCTATTTATCCGTCTTACCAAAGTTAAAAATGTTATAATTCTTTATTCAATATATATATTATGTGGTGGGATAAAAATTTTGGCTTCAGCTAGGAATTGAATAATATAAATATGACACGTTTCAGCTTCGAATAAGTAAGCTAACACAAGCGCTTCAGTTCTATTCCATAGGGATAACTTGCCATATAGTAATTTCAATAGCTGCAGCATGAATGCCCTTTCCGACAGATTTCAGCAAAAGTATAGCATTTACATTACGATTTTGTTAAAATCTAGACACATACAATTCCTTTAAATCTCCTGTGCTCCCAAAGAACAACATTTTTATATAGAAAGATAAGTCTATTATAAAAGTTGGAAAACAAAAGCAAGTAATAACCTTATGGAATTGGCAATATTTGCATAAATTCATCATATTTCTTTAGTAGAGAGGTTATTCAAAAACTTTCAAAGTTGAGGTTATTATAATTTATGATAACATATCTCAACTTATAGTATCTAATTGGCAATATATTATGCTTCTAGAACGATTTCAGAATATGTTTTTTCCATCACAATTGGAAGATCCAAATTCGCAACTATTAAAATATTTAATCAATCACTAAACGATATGCTTTCTCATCATATTTATGCTTATGGGCAACTGGATAAAAAATAAAATACATGGAAAGAGCTGAGCTAATAATTTAAATCTATTTTAACTTCTATTTATCAATACAGAGGGAATATCTTACTTTAGTTGAACAATGTATGAACTTTGCATGTGAAATGATGGATCTCTGTCGGGGCACTCAAGAAGTTGAGGCTGTTATCTCCGACTTCTTGGAAGACGGTGCCAACGTTCGAGATCCCTTGGGTCGGCTTCGACTTGCAATTAGGTTTGAGGAGAAAAAAGTAAGCGATTTAACTGCAGTAATTTTACACTTAAAACAGCGTATGCACTATGCCGTGCAAGTAAAGACACTTTAAATTTAGCTTTGGTAATTAATAAGAAACTATAGTTGAAGGGATTCACCTGGGTTCAATGCTGCTCACTAATTCACTAATTTAATTATGCCTGCTTTACTTGACTTTGTCAAAGCATTATGTCAATCTAAGTTACTCCTTCCGATTTTTGCTAGTATTTTATCACAGTGCTCTTTCTATATGATATAGACGTTTGCAAGATAGATAACCGAGTCCTTAGACCTTATGACGACATTCAAAGCAAGAAAGTTATATAAATTTTAATATGCACGATATGTTTCATGATCATCTCGATATTTACAAGTGAAACCTAAAAAGATGAACACACGATTCATTACTAGGTAAAAACTATTCCTCTATCACATATGACGCTGCATTTTATTTATATTCAAATAAAAATGCTTTGAGCTGGTCGCAACTTTGGTTAACACTTAAGTCTTTTAATTTGAGTACAATGGGTGAATTTTATTTGTTTTAATTATTATCCTGTATCAAGAAGATTTAGTCCAAATTACACTGTTATTAGATCCTTTATAAGCTTTCTAATATAAAGATAAGCTGTATAGCTTATTTTAATAGCACTCGAATTAATTACTTTTGAATTAATAAAAGCATAGCTATTTGTTAAACAGCTTGAGATATTTTAGCTATAATAGAGTGATATTTCAAAACTTGGCGGCCGAAGAACTTCTGGTGAATTTGCTTCTGTCATATTTGACCTTTTCAAAAAGTATAACTTAAGTGTATTTCGATATTTCTCAAAAGCACAATATAATCGTAAAAGCACGCCAGATAGGGCCCTTACACGACATAAAAAGCAAGTTAATCTGAATTTTAATCCTCGCATTTCTCCTCCACCTTCATCATGACTAAGAAAACTGTACATTAAAAAATTATATTCAATTGCAGTACTTACCAAATGCGTTTGCAGGCTCTTTCCTTATCAGTTACTTAATACATTATTTTCTGCGCTTTTATCAATTCAGATGAATAATAAATGTAAATTAAATTCTTTAAAATTTTTTAGCTTATTTTATACTGGTTTATTCTTTAAGTTTAATATATTTAAAAAACTTACTAATATTTTTTTATGTTACGCAGCAAAACAGTTTAAGATGTGTTATATGCATAATGATTTTTAATGAATTATTATCTATATCAATTTTATCAATTATTTATAAAGTTTTTGATGCTTCTAATTGCGTAGCAGGTTAATTCATGCTCGCCTTTATACCAGCACCAGGATCCCATTTGGTCTACGAATCGCTCTGTAAAAATTAAGTGGAAAATTTGGAAAAGATATTCTTACAATCTTGCGGATTATGAGGACTCAAACTTCATGAAAAAACATTGTTAGATTATGAATTTCCGCACATTCTTACTCTCTTTATAGAAATATAAAGTCTTAATTTATTTTTACAAACAATAATACGGATCGCTACAAAGTGTTTGTAAGTTAAGCTGGTTGCGGGAATATGGTACACTTATTTTGAGCTTAGAAGTGCTTGCTTACTAAGTAAATGCAATATATCTTATCAAGATGCTTAGATACGGTTATCACTAGATAGAGTTCAGTAAAAAGCCAAATTGTTACTGTATTTCTCTCACTGTTATAGGTATGGGGGCAGATTATCGACATAAAATGTAAATCGCAATGAGAAATAAACCAGAT